ATTGGTTAATTATCACGGGTGATCACATGTAGATCCATAAAAATTAGCCAATCATATGAATTTCTTCCTATGAACTGATGGCCCAGTCAGTACTATGGTTGGGGACAACATGGGAATACTGGGTGCTGTAACTTTTTTTTTTTTATTCGCGAAACATTAATAAAATACAATAATGTAAAAAAAAAAAATTTATTGTATCTAATACAGTAATAACACTTTGAACTACCGTAACTTGTAGTGTTCCGAGTTGATTAGTTGTCAACTATCGATGCAAAAAATCGATTATTTATATCATATAGTATCATAATTAGCTAATTAAAAGATTAGCTTAACTAAAAAATATCATAGAAGTGCGCTAGTTAAATAATTAATTGATTAGTTGTTTAAATTTTTTTTAAATCAACTATATAGTTGGAAAGTTGTCAACTAGTTGGTTGTTTAACTAACAATTTGGAACACCACTCAGGGATACAAGTTTACTTTTACTATAATTTAAATTACTAATGAAAAGTAAAATTAGTATATAAAATATTATATTACTGTAGTAATTACAAAGGTATTTCTAATTATTATTTTATTTAACTAAAGAAATTAATCATTTTAAATGTAAAAATTCCCTACCGGTTTGTCGCGAAATCAGATAATGTTGGAGATTCCAATAATTCTTTGTACTACGTATTTTACTCTTAATAAAATGCACCTCAAGAATTTCACGACAATAAATTTTAAGTTTTTAAAATGATATGTATATATAGTTAATAATTAGAGTATACTGTTTGTGCAGAAAAGCAGAAAACTGTTAATAAATTATTGGTAGATAAATTTTGCTACTATAAATTTTATGAATTTATCTTGATGGTAACATTCGGAGCAGTAATTTTATATTTAATCATTATGAAAGTTTTTTACAACCAAAATTACATATTGAAATTTTGATTTCAGAAATTTATGAAAATCTATTTGAATTATAGTAATTTCCAACCTTGGTGACAAACACACCAGCTAATGTAACATAATTCGATCCAATTTAACATTTATTTGGGGAGAGTGAGGGAGAGAGAGAGTGTGTGTGATGAAAAATGTCGGAAAATGTTAAGCCAAAAATTACAGAAGCTACTAATGCATCAATGGTATTGAACCAGAGGTTGTAAAGGGAATATTAGATAAGAAGGATCAATGCTTAATGTTACTGAACAAATGGCTAAAAATACTAAAGCAGAAGACGTTAGATATTTAGGAAATAGCGAGAAAGATCAAATGAAATTAGATGAAAAAAAATTAACTACCATAAAATTATGGAAACGTTTCTCTTCCACCTCTAGTACCTCCAATTTTTGCCTCGGATAAGGAAGAAAAGGATTTAAAAAAGCTGGTTATCCCGAGACTGCATTTGAGGTTGAATTTCCCCCCTCAGATCCAACTTTCAACTTTCATCAAATTGTAGGGGGCACAGAAGAAGGTATTGGCAAATTAATTGGTAATGAAGTTGAGAAAGCCGGACAAGCTATGAGAGAAGCATCTGTGCAACCAATTAAAAAACGTAAAAAAATGTGGTAGAAATGTAACTTAAGTGACTTGCGTCGTCAATCTCTAGGTTACTTTTGCTATACAATCTTTGTAGTTTTATAATGATTTTGTCTTGTAACCTAATTACAGACTTGTGCTATCTGATTCTGAAATTAAAAACAATCGACAAATAACAATCGATATAATTCAAGTTAATGTAAATGCTTCGTAAATTATATAACTATTGTTAGAATAATAATCCTCAAACAATTATAAAGTTTTTTGCAAACTTTTGATTTGTAATATTTTTAAAACTTCATTAACAATTTTAGGTTAATGACACTCCATTAGTGTGGTCATGCTTGGCATAAAATCATAAGTCTTAAACTGTAAAAAATTTGTACTTGATCAGTTTATTTTCTCTTAGTAATTATAAGTTTCAACCGATCGATCAAAGATTTCGCATATTAAAGAACCTATTTAAACTCGATTTTTTTTGTATTTTATCATCGTTAAAATCAATTTAATATATATTATTAGTTTTATTGATTTCATTAACGTTAATATTGATCTGAATCATTTTTTCAATTGGTAAAAATTAAGAAATGATACATGCCAATTAATAATGGAAAAAATGACGCGTAACATACATATACAGCAACATACTATTGATAAAGTGTAAATGACTTAAAAGTAATCTGATTGATAACGCGACTATAACTAGTTTATTGATTTTAAAATTAACAAAAATATCGCAATTACAGAACTATCTGGATCCATAGATAGAATTGTACTAATGTGGGCTCTGTCTATCCAATCAAATATGGGTTGGATTTGGATATAACGATAAATAATTTAAATCATTTAAATAATTTAAATAATTTAAATCATTTAAATAATTTAAATCATTTAAATCATTTAAATAATTTAAATAATTTGTAAATATTTCTTTCGGTGATCTGTGATAGACCCATGGAACAAACCACTTATACATTACATTAGTAGGGGTAAGTATAAAACTATACTAAAAATAATACACAGTTTTCAAAATTTCAGCGCAAGCTGCATTAGAGGCAAGTGCCGAGAGTGGTACTTACCGGGTATATGCCCGACCCTATATTTACCGTGTATGTACCCGTCCCTACATTTAATAAATAAAGAAATCGTACAATATTTTAATATTCTCCGAACAAAAGCATGCTTTGTTACTTATAAAAGAAAATAATAGTAATTCAGTAGAAATATAAAAGGGAAACTTTATTCACTTTGTGAAAGAGTTCATGAATGGTTGAAACTCAAAATTAATTAAAGTCATTAATAAAATCATTAATAAAATCATTAATAAAGTCATTATTACAAATCAAAAGTTTGCAAAAAAACTTTATAATTGTTTGAGGATTATTATTCTAACAATAGTTATATAATTTACGAAGCATTTACATTAACTTGA